TTACGAAAAGAGGTTGCTTACCTCTTGAGAAACGGGTATCTGACTGAGATCATGTCAGAACAGACGAAATCCATGTTGCACAGGAATCAGAAGTCGTCCGCAGATCACCAATGACCTCCTTCACCTACGGCACCACAAAAGGTAATCAATTTCATTAATGGTGGTTCTGATTTATGTGGACTAACCTATTCTGCAGCGAAGAGACAAGCTCGGGAATATTCCCGAGACAAGTCGTCACAGGTATATCAAATCGTCCAGAAAGAAGAAGCCTGGAAAAACGCACCAATCACATTCGATGAGGCAGACTTGGCCAATCCTGTTGATGCTCATCATGAAACCTTAGTCATTGCGCTTAGGGTAGCAAACTGTGAGGTGAGACGAGTTCTGGTTGATAATGGTAGCACTACCAACATCACAACGCTGAGGACACTGAAACAGATGGGATACAAGGAAGAAGACTTGACTGTCTCCGGTTCCACCCTTGTCGGATTCAATGGCGAGCCCAGTCAAACGATAGGTAACGTTTCTCTACCCGTACATGCAAATGGTCTTAACCTGCAGGTGAAGTTCGATGTTGTCCAAGATCTGCCCGCTTACAATATGATCCTGGGGACACCTTGGCTACATCAGATGGGTGCAGTCCCGTCCACATATCATCAGGTAGTCAAATTTCCGACACCGTGGGGGGTGCAATCCATCCGCGGTGACAGAGCCGCTGCTAAATCATGCTATCAAACCGCAATGAAGCCAACGACATCTGCAACGACTTCGGCCTAGCAAATAAAGGGCGACTTCAATCCGGTTGATGAAGATGACGGCAACATTAAGGACGTCATCATTGACCCATGCTATCCGGATAGAGTCGTCCGCATTGGGGGCAACATGCCAACTCAGCTGGAGGAAGAACTTGTTACTTTTTTGAAAGAGCATAAAGATGTCTTCGCCTGGAGCCATGACGATATGACGAGAATTGATCCACAAGTAATCACTCATAAACTGAATGTCAACCCTGCACATAAACCTGTCAAGCAGAAAAGACGACGTTTGGCAAGGGAAAGGAACGACATCATCAATCAGGAAGTCGAAACACTACTACGCAAAGGTAAAATCCGAGAGGTAAATTACCCTAATTGGCTTGCTAATGTTGTTGTAGTGCAGAAGAAGAAGGGCCACCAAAAGGGCAAAAAACCTAAGTGGAGAGTGTGTGTCGACTTCACTGATTTGAACAAGGCATGCCCAAAGGACTCGTTCCCAATGCCGCACATTGACGTCCTCGTCGATGCCACGGCAGGACACGAAATGTTGACATTCATGGACGCCTTCTGTAACACCCCGGCCCCACCGGACCCGAGGTAGTTACTCCGGACCAATAGTACTGTCCTCACAAACCACCACGAGCCTTTACCGCGCACTTTGTCCTCACTCATGCGCGCCCTGAGAAACTTCCCAGGGGTCACCCATCCCAAGACTACTCCCGTGCAAGCACGCTTAACTTGGGAGTTCTTGGGTGATGAGCTCCCTTAAAAGGAGATGCACCTCTGTTGGTATGAGTAGTAATATTAATCCTCTTAAATTAATCTCGGGTGTTACAATCACCCCCACTTAGGATCGCAACGTCCTCGTTGCGCCCTTAAACCAATCTCAATCAAATCCCAGAAACTTTCCCCCTGCTAGGTGTCTGCCTGATATCCAACGGATCAGCTGTAACACCCCGGCCCCGTAGGACCCGAGGTAGCTACTCCGGACCAATAGTACTGTCCTCACAAACCACCACAAGCCTTTACCGCACACTTTGTCCTCACTCATGCGCGCCCTGAGAAACTTCCCAGGGGGTCACCCATCCCAAGACTACTCCCGTGCGAGCACACTTAACTTTGGAGTTTTTAGCGGATGAGCTCCCTTAAAAGGAGATGCACCTCTGTTGGTATGAGTAGTACTATTAATCCGTTTATATTAAATCTCAAGTGTTACAATCACCCCCACTTAGGATCGCAACGTCCTCGTTGCGCCCTTAAACCAATCTCAATCACACCCCAGAATCTTTTCCCCTGCTAAGTGCCCGCCCGATATCCAACGGATCAACACACTGTCGCAGGGTTGCTCTGATACCACCTGTAACACCCCGGCCCTGCAGGCCCCGAGGTAATTACTCCAGACCTCTAGTACTGTCCTCACAAACCGCCACTAGCCTTTTACGCGCACTTTGTCCTCACTCATGCGCGCCCTGAGAAACTTCCCAGGGGGTCACCCATCCCAAGACTACTCCCATGCAAGCACGCTTAACTTTGGAGTTCTTGGCTAATGAGCTCCCTTAAAAGGAGATGCACCTTGTTGGTATGAGTAGTACTATTAATCCTCTTAAATTAATCTTGGGTATTACATCAGCACACTGTCGCAGGGTTGCTCTGATACCACCTGTAACACCCCGGGCCTGCAGGACCCGAGGTAGTTACTCCAGACCTCTAGTACTGTCCCCACAAACCACCACGAGCCTTTACCGCACACTTTGTCCTCACTCATGCGCGCCCTGAGAAACTTCCCAGGGGGTCCCGCATCCCAAGACTACTCCCGTGCGAGCACGCTTAACTTTGGAGTTCTTGGGTAATGAGCTCCCTTAAAAGGAGATGCACCTCTGTTGGTATGAGTAGTACTATTAATCCTCTTAAATTAATCTCGGGTATTACACCTTCAGTGGTTATCATCAAATTCAGTTACACTCGGATGACCAAGAGAGGACTGCATTCATCATAGAGACAGGTACATATTGTTATGTTGTCATGCCTTTCGGTTTGAAAAATGCAGGTGCCACTTTCCAAAGACTGGTCACCATGATCTTCAAAGACCAACTCGGTAAAACCATGGAAGTATACATCGACGACATGCTAGTTAAGTCTAAAAGGGCAACAGACCACATTGATCACCTGCGGAGGTCGTTCCAGAATTTGCAGGAGTATAACTTGAAGCTTAATCCCGCCAAATGCACATTCGAAGTTTCATCGGGAGAGTTCCTGGGATACATTGTCAGCGAAAGGGGAATTGAAGCAAGCCCCGAACAGGTCCGGGCCATATTAGACATCGAATCTCCCAAGTCAGTCAAAGACGTCCAGAGACTGACCGGACGAGTTGCGGCACTCAACAGGTTCATATCAAAGTCATCAGATAGGTGTCGACTTTTCTATGACGTCCTCAGACAGAATAAGAAGTTCGAGTGGACTGAACAACATGAGAAAGGCTTGCAACAATTGAAAGAGTACATGACAACACCACCTCTGCTGACAAAACCTAAGGATGGCGAGGAATTACAACTTTACCTGGCAGTGTCATAACATGCTGTCAGTGCGGTCTTGACACGCGAAGAAGACGGACAACAAGCACCAGTTTACTATGTAAGTAAGTCGTTAAATGGGCCGGAGACCAGGTACGCACTCTTAGAAAAATTAGTACTTGCACTAGTTACAGCATCAGTTAAGTTGCGTCCTTATTTCGAATCGCATTCTATTTGTGTACGTACTAACTACCCCATGAAGTCAATCATGAGGAAACCAGAACTGACAGGTCGGATGATCAAATGGTCAATGCAACTGTGGGCATACGAAATCAAGTATGAACCTAGGATAGCTTTGAAATCACAGGCTTTAGCTGATTTTGTGGCAGATTTCAGTCCCAAACCGCAAGTAGAAGCAGAGAAAGAAACATGTCTCCTGATTGGAAACCAACATCAACAAAAATGGACCTTACACACTGACGGAGCCTCGAACACACGTGGGGCCGGACTTGGAGTTGTACTGAAGTCGCCACAAGAGGGAACCATACTACAAGCCGTCCGGTGTGATTTCAACGCAACAAACAATGAAGCCGAATATGAGGCATTGATCTTCGGACTAAACTTAGCCCGAAACTTGGGCATAAAGCTAATCGAGGTAAAGTGCGACTCCCTTTTAATTATTAATCAAACTAACGGGATCTATGCAGCTAAGGATCCAAAGATGACGGCATATCTGCAAGTCGTCACTGAATTGAGCAACAATTTCGACGACATTACCTTTGATCAAGTCCTGAGGGAGGAAAACGTCCAGGCTGATGCCCTAGCAACAATCGGATCATGTCTGGAGGCAGAGAGCAATGACAACATACCATTCGTCCACTTGACTGAGCCAGCAATTACAAAGTCAGAAGTCGGCAACATCATCAAATCGACCGCAGACAGCAATTGGATGCAACCATACGTGGATTATCTCAAGCACAACATCCTCCCAACTGACAAAAGAGAAGCCAGAGCACTCCTGTCAAAGGTAACAAAGTTTTTATTAATTGACAACATTCTGTTTAAACGTTCAAAAGCAGGTCCATATCAAAGATGTCTGGATCCACAAGAAGCTGTTCAAGTACTCAAAAGCCTTCACGAAGGAGAATGCGGCAACCATGCAGCAGGTAGAAGCTTATCTAACAAGGCCCTGAGGTTTGGTTATTACTGGCCAACAATGAGGCAAGATGCTGTCGCATACACACAAGCTTGTCAACCATGTCACAAACACGCACCATTACATCATCAACATGCAGAAGCATTACACCCTGTATTGTCCCCTTGGCCCTTCATGAAATGGGGCATGGACATCGTCGGAAAACTACCTGAAACACCCGGACAAAGGGTCTACATGTTAGCAATGACTGACTACTTCTCAAAATGGATCGAAGCGGAGCCCTTTCGACAGATCCGCGACACCCAGGTAATATCTTTCATTAAAAGAAATATATTGAGCAGATTTGGCATCCCCTCAGAAATCGTCTGCGACAACGGATCACAATTCATCAGCATCAAAACAAGACGGTTCTGTGAGAAGTACAATATCAAGCTGGTGATGTCGACACCCCGTTATCCACAATCAAACGGACAAGCTGAGTCAAGCAACAACATCATCATCTCAAATTTAAAGAAGCGGCTTGAAAAAGCACAAGGAAAATGCACCGACGAGTTACCACTTATATTATGGGCAGATAGGACGACACCAAAAAATGCCACAGGACAAACGCCTTTTTCATTGGTGTACGGATGCGAAGCTGTCATTCCAGTCGAAGTCGAGGTGCCAACATCCAGATACAGACTTATCACGGAGGCAACAAACAACATAGAGGTGGTTCATGATCTTGACACCATTGACGAATTGAGAGAGAAAGCCAAAGTACAAATGGCAGCCTATCAACAAAGGGTGGCAAGAAGCTACAATAAGGATGTCCGTGCCAAAATATTCAAGAAAGGCGATTGGGTGCTCAGGAAATCCTTCGGCAACGAAGCAAGCGGAAAATTCAGTCCTAACTGGGAAGGCCCATATTAAATTACAGATGTTGTCGGGCAGGGGGCATACCGGTTGGAATCCATTGACGGTAAGCAAGTGCCAAGGAGTCTATTAGAGCATCTCCAACGTGGGAAGGCCCATATCAATTTACAGATATTGCTCTTAGATTGATTGGGACTCTATTAGAGCATCTCCAACGTGAGCCTGTTGACATTAGGAAAAACTGCCGCATCAGCCATGTCGACATATCTCGCAACATTTTCGTCTCCAGCGCAATATGTCTAAGGCCATATAAAGCTGACCTGTACAAAAATAACGTCAACATTGTTAAGGTGACTGTCTTCTGATAACAGCCTCCTTGACATGATGAGTCAGCCAAAATGGGTGAAGAAATTCCGCAAAAAAATCTCCAAAACGTCTTGAACCAGTGAACCACGGCCTATACCTTCAAGTAGTGGGTTTCTTCAACAAATTAATTTCGCGGTTTTCAATGTAGCAGGTTTGTTGGGGATATGATTTAATTTCTTGCATATGCAGTATATTTTTGCTCGTATTTACAAATTTCCTAACTTTGGATTAACTCATTCTTCTCAAAACTAAAATTCACAATCAGATTTTTCTATCTCCGCTGCTTTTTAATCCTTTCTTTTTAACTAGTATTGCACCCGTGCGATGCACGGGGACAGTTGTTTTTCTATTACATACGATATCTTCACACACATAGTATAATGCATATTGAAATATGACTATGAGATTTATTTTGAGCTCGTATGGTAACACCTATTTTCGACTTATCAATCGATTTTTTGTCAAACACATGATTCTGAGATCAATCTCACATAAGAGAGTGAGACCATCTCAATATTTTTTCTTTATTTTATTACAATAAAATATAATTTAAATACTCCATCCAATCCAAAATAAATTTCACACTTTGATTTTATAGTTTTTATCTAGAGAGAAAATGGTCTAAAGTGGATAATATTCTAATGGTATTAGACTAACTTTATAATAAAAAGTTATTAAAAATAGAAGCGTAAACTTTATTTTGGATCTGTACAAAAAGGAAAAAGTAATGTTTATTTGGGAAAGTAAGTATAGTTTTTTATGTCTTACCACATTCATTCAACCAATTACTAATTTTAAAGTTACAAAACATGTCTTACTTTAACTTCTTAGGGAGTATTTTCAACCGCTTAAAGAAAGCGTTTATCAGTTTTTGTGTGAAAAATGCTTTTTACTTTTTTTTATTACATAAAAAGTACTTATTTTATCAAACACTATCAACTAATCACTTTTCTAATCACTTCAAAAAAATGTTTTTTTAAGCAAAAGCATTTAATCAAATACATGCGGATTATAAAAACTCCGCATTACTGAGTACAAAACAAACAAATACACCGTATACATTGGGAAAAAATACGCAGCTTCAGCTTGTCTCTCATAACATCCGGATATTTTCCAGATTCCTCCTCTCCCCATTCCGCATGGCCTCCTCGCCACTGACAGTGTACCGTCCTCTCTCTACCTCCATCCTGTCTCTCAGATTCTCGCTTCAATCCGTCCGATTGTTGCTCTCATAATCGTTCAGTTCCGATTTTGTAGCACTCAAGAGTCAAGGATGTTGATGAGCACCGTCTTCACGGAATCGCAGCTCATCTCAGACAGATGGTAAGTGTGGTTTCTTTTACTTCGAATTTAGGTTCACCCATAAGTATAAGATAAATCTTAAATCAAAGAACTATTCTCCTTTTTGTTAGCTTCTTAGATCTGATCTCAGATCTAATTGACTGAGATGTGTTTATTTATTTTTTTGCCTCTGTTTTACTTAAATTACTATCTGATATATATTGGTCTATATTTTAAATTTAGCTTAAATTTGAGAAAATTCAAGGTGTTGTTATTGTTGTTCACAAAATCAAGGTTTTGCTTATATGGATTATCCTTTCAGTGTTTATTGTACGTGTCATTCTAAAACATAAGTGTTTGCACGGGCACTGATAAAATGTTCTTATAGCTGTAGATATTTCATTTTTAATATATATTCTTAATTCTTACGGAGTAATATTTAATGAATTGAAATGATATACACTACGTACTAAATTTAATTTTACCTTCTCTTCCATGTTAGTAGACTCATTCATTGTGTATTATAAAGTGCGGAGTATATGAAGTTCATTATATCGTACGTGAGGTGTAAAAACAACTTGCTGCTTTGCTTTTTTTTTTTTTTTATCAAATCTACATTTGGTTAACCAAGTAAAAGAAATTAGCAGCAGCTTTAATGCAATTATGCAAATCTGCATTTTTATTACTTGTTATCTGATAATTTAGGGCAGTTAAATACATCAATGCAGGAAATTCTTTATTAGGTAGTCCCGTAGTGGCTTAGTCATGCTCTCTAACTCTTGTTGTACGCTATTTGATTCTGCACCATGTGTGTTAAATTTTTTTTTTGAAATTTGTGTTGGCTAGCCACTTGCCAGTGTTGTGGTACTTGATTACCCTAAACTTGTATGGTGCTACTGTGTGTGTATGTGTATATATGTGCAAATATATATATACACATTTATGTGCACTTAAAATTTAAAATAAAGATAGGACTCCAGAGTCCAGAGTAGTTGACTTGAGGCACCTTGGTGTCTTACGAAGTATATTGTTGCTTGTTTTTGAAATATCAGCCATAATTGTTATACGAAGTATATATACGAAGTATTTTTGTGTCATTATTAATACTTCATTTCAATGGTCAGTTGAGGTATATATGTAAATCTTGAAGCATAGATCAAATATATTACTACGTATATGGCATCCAAATAAAGGTTAGGAGAGACCATTCATTATTTTCTGCACTCGTGATGAGAGATTGATGATATCTCTTTAGAGCTATTTATTTTATATGGCATCTACATTATAAGAATTTTAGTTGATGTATTCTATGCTTTGTGTTCAGGTGTTACAAAGTTACTGAAGGTGGGTTGAAGAGATGGGTTGAAGAGAGGAGGTTCGGGTAGAAAAGGAATAATCTGGAAATATGAAAGTAAGTAAACATTAAGTTCAATTGAGTGTGAATTTTGACATGTAAAGTTATTGACTTATGATTTCTAAGACAATTCAACTGATTGCATGAAGTTGATTTCAACATTCCAAATTCAATTTATGTTTTGAAATCCATTTCTTTAATTAAATTCGATTTTCAGATGCGAGTTAAATAGTTAAATAATACTCCGTATTAATATTTCACATACGTGGTATGTACTCTTTCGACATGGTAGTTAATACACATAAATAACATTACAAATAGCTAACGTAAATTGGGAATATATGTGTGTGTTCATATATCCTCCTAAACATTATTATTACAAACGAACAATATGAATCAATAACAGTTATATTTGAAGTAAATATATCTTAATTTTTGAAATAGCAACCACAATTGCTATCACAATTACTCTGTATTATCCCAAGGACAACACATGTTGTGTTTTTCTAAACTACTTAAAGCATCAATGATATTACGAACATATTGAATCTCTGTCCCCCTATACACGAGTAAGTAATTGTCAGATAACGCAATAGGGTTGAAGAATATTAACATTTTAGTAATGTTTTTACCTCAGAATCATGAAAGACGCACTCCTCTTGGTGAATGATGGCACAGCAGTAGAGCGGATGGGGTGAACCCTTAACGCCCAATTTGTTCTTGACTCATTAAGTCTTGAACTTTGTTGAACAGCATTTTCGCACAACTTCACGGTCGGCAAAAAGGAATGAAGATCTCAATTTGCCTGAGTAGTTTTTTCGGCCGATGGTGGTATTTAATGTGGTAGCAGTCAGTTAATGCAGAGCAGATAAGGTGAACGTGCTTAGTGGTTATGAGTGATGTTTTAGAAAGTGCTAAATGTACGGCCCTGAACTGCACTATGTAACCATATATTACGTGTGTCAAATTTTAAAACTGTCCGATTATTTTTACATTTAGCAACCTTGGGACACATGTAATTTTACGTTTAACCATCTTGGGACACGTGTAAATTTCAATGGTCAGATTTGACATGCTTGTTTCACGATTGTGCTTATATATATATATAGATAATAATAGCCTGTAATATGGATATTTCGGTGATACATGCGCTTACCGGCAAAAGAATTGCGTATGAGTTTGGGTTGTTAACCCGAAGCATTGGAGCAGATTTTGGAGTTTCAATGTCTAATTAAATCACTCTCGCATGACATGGATAGACATTCCACTAATTAAGTGCCATGTGTCAAAGTTTACTCCATGTGAAGGATGTAGCATTAAAGATGCTCTTTGAGCAATGAAATTGATACCGGATTGTTGGTGGCATGAGGTCTGTTGATCATAGCTAATCGATCGGAATTATTTGGGGATCAGCAAATAATGATTGCTGTGAAAGCGGCTACCGATGAGGGTAAGTGGATGATAGCTAAATTCGACTGCTCTAATTCTACAGAAATGTAAATCGGTTTGGTGTGAACGGGAAGTATCCATAAAAATAATCCCAACAATAACTAATCTGCTCAAAAAAACTATATTTCAAAATAAACTAATCTGCTCAAAAAGTATTGATCATCACAAAATAATTTCAACTACGGGAAAAACTCTCAAAATACTTTAGGAACAATAAAATATCACAAATCATTACATATTATTCCGTATTAATTATCCCTAGAGTATTTTTTATTTTTTTCACTGGAATTATTTTGAGATAATTGATACTTTGAAATTATTTCAAGCACATTACTAATAGCTTGCACGTATTCATGTCCATTTTTTCAAGTATATATTGATATGTGGACTTGATTTTTTTTTGGCAGCATGGACTTGATTATTTGAAATCGTACTCTGTATTTGTTTGCTTGGTCTAATCTTTTTAATGATCACATTTCTTTTATATTTTAAACTTTTAACTAATAAGTTACAATTTTTTAACGAAAAAGTGTGACAAACTTTTAAATAAATCCAAAAATGAAAGTGTAACAAACTTTAACGGCCAAATTTTAAATAAGATAGGGGGGAAGTACTACATACTTATTAACGGCCAAATTACCAGATTGGTAAAAAAAGGGGGTGTTTTGCCAAATTGGTAAAAAAAACCTCCTGAGACAATTTGGTAAAAAAAAAAACAGACCAAATGACAGATTAGTCAATTTTTTGAGAGTGAGACTTTTTTTGTCCTCGACTTTAGAATTCCCGATATTTCATATTCTAAGTATTGTGAAACTGACATTTTCAGTCCTTCAACTTTGATTTTGTCATGAAAAGTATACGACTAAAAAATCTATCTCTTTTAAAAATGTGCTCAAAAAATCTACTCCTTATGAATATTCTATTTTATATGGAATATTTTTGCTATTTTATATGCCGTAGAAATTAAAAAATAAATATATAATAGTCATATTTAACATATTAATTCTAAAAATAAATAAATTTATGTGTGTGTGCTCGACTAGCCCATTTTAAAAAAATATAGAATAGTCACGTTTAAAATAAATACTACTGTAGTCCTCAACTTTAGAATTCCCGATATTTTATAATATATGTTGTCTGCTAGCTAAAAGTCTGATGAATCAACAAATTAATAGTAGCACATTCTATTTTAACTTTTTAAATTTTTAATAAGTTATAAAATTTTGTTTCAAACTAATAATGAAAGTGGTTAATTAAAAAATTAAGTTATATTTTGATGACATAGAATTAACTTAACTGTTAAGACATAAAATGACCATTAAGAATATGAATGTAAAAGTATATAACTTAATTTTACTTTTTAAATTTTTAATAAGTTTTGAAAAATGATATAAAAATTATATTTACGTTTATTTGAAATAAGTACTACCGGTATCACTTTTAACACATGTACACTAACGCGAGCAAACACGTATGAAATTGGTTAGTCGAGCACAAAGATATAAATTTATTTATTTTTAGTATTAATATTTTAAATATGACTATTTTATACGTTTTTTTTTAAATTCTATGGTATAAAAAATAGAAAAAATATTTCATATAAAATATAATTTTTTTATGGTGTAGAATATTTTGGTAGATATTTTAGATGCAATAGACTTCTTAGTTTTGTACTTTTCATTACAAAATCAATGTTGAAGGACTGCAAATGTTAATTTTATAATACACAGAATATGATGTTAATTTGTACTTTCTTTTCCTTTTATTCTTTCTTTTGCTTTTGGTGGTAATATCATGTATCGATTCATGTTAGCCGACCCCAATATCTTTTGGGACTAAGACTTGGATGTTGTTGTTGTTGTTGTTTGCACAGAATATGAAATATAGGCAATTTTAAAGTCATAGCAAAAAAATGTCCCACTCACAAAAAATTGACCAATCTGTCACGTTGTTTTTTTACTAATTTATCTCAGGAGGTTTTTTATAACACTTGAGATTTAATATAAATGGATTAATAGTACTACCCATACCAACAGAGGTGCATCTCCTTTTAAGGGAGCTCATCACCCAAGAACTCCAAAGTTAAGCGTGCTTGCACAGGAGTAGTCTTGGGATGGGTGACCCCCTGGGAAGTTTCTCAGGGCGCGCATGAGTGAGGACAAAGTGCGCGGTAAAGGCTCGTGGTGGTCTGTGGGGACAGTACTATTGGTCCGGAGTAACTACCTCGGGTCCTGCGGGACCGGGGTGTTACATTTTTTTCACCAATTTGGCAAAATATCGTGTTTTTTTTACCAATCTGGTAATTTGGCCACTTGTTAACACATTAATGATGTATTTTGAGTTGCTGTTCACCACATCCAATTACAAACCTGCTGGACTATTAGACCCGGACAAGTAACTGGGTCAAGGGTCAACCCCGATCCAGAGGATCAGTCCGATTAACGGTCAAAAACTTGATCAATATTTTTCTAAAAAGTAAAATCTAAATTATGTACTGAGTATTATTTTTATTATTATCAATTTAAGGGAAAACATCTCATTATTTATAATATTAATTATCATAATACATATAAGTATTTGGATATGTGGCTATGTACTAATGTAGTACGAACTATATGAATAAGAAAATATGTATAATGTGATTGTTTTTTTATAATAATCAATGAGAGTTGTTTAAATATATTGGAACATGAAGTGCTAATAGCAACTAAGGAACAAGTACAAGTAATTGGTCCAAGTAGTGCATTGGATTTTAGGAACGGGACAGATTGGTAAAAACAGATTGGCAATTTTAAAGTCATGGCAAAAAATGTCCCGCTCACAAAAAAATGACCAAACTGACACTTAGTTTTTTTTTACCAATTTATCTAGGAATTTTTTTTTATCAATTTGGCAAAATACCGTGTTTTTTTTACCAATCTGGTAATTTGGCCACTTATTAACATATTAATGATGTATTTTGAGTTGCCGTTCACCACATCCAATTACAAACCTGCTAGACTAATGGACCCGGACAAGTAACTGGGTCAAGGGTCAACCCCGATCCAGAGGATCAGTCCGATTAACGGTCAAAAACCTGGTTAATATTTTTCTTAAATTATGTAGTACGAACGATATGAATAAGAAAATATGTATAACGTGATTGTCTTTTGATAATTTGGTTAATTTGGCATACCATAGATCAACTCCCACACTAAATGAAATTATTGAAAAATCAAAACTACCGGGTTTGTCGGTTTCAGGCAGATTCCGGCAGGGGTTTTCGGACGGGTTTCGTGCAGGTTTTCATGATTTGCGAGTTTGGTCTTAACTGATCGACCTGGTATGCCAAGTGGGTCGACTCTCTCGGGTTGGTTCGGGTTTGATACGATAACTTTTATTTCTTTTTTGCTAGATGTATATTTACAATTCATATTATTACATTACGACAATTTCGTTCAAAAAAAACATTATGACAAGTGAATTCTTATGTTGGAAATGATAAAATTTCATGATTAATTTGTATTACTCAAACATTACTTTTTATATGAGAATTATATTTTCCCGTGCATCGCACGGGTATAATACTAGTTTTGATAAAAGTTAGATATATAAAGCACTCCCTCCATCCCGAAAAGGTTGGTCAAAATTGTCTTTCACGTGAATTAATAAAGTAAAAACTGTGTGATTGAAATTTGTGCAGAGGAGAGAGGATTAACTTTAGCCGCATATTTCTTACTTTAAATAGAAATAGCAAATCTTTTTGGAACATCCAAAAAGGGAAATTTGGCCAACCTTTTCAGGACGGAGAGAGTAAAAGATTAAAAACAATTTATATTGATTGGAAAATAGTAGATGAGAACATTTACGTGGAAACAATGTATGAACTAACTTAGAAAGTACAATCCACCCCTTATATAGGAGACTATGTCCGGCCGTCGCCAATTGGGGCAGTTCCCGGTGGATTTTTTTGATAAAATTTTTTGAGCATATTATTCATTAAGTTTAGTTTATCCATACTAAATTTCAGATAAAAATTCAATCGGGAAGACAGTCAAATGATTTTTGAAATGTATTGTGCTGTTTAACTGCGTTGATGTCCAAAAAACTCACATAGTTTTTTTACACAAGTATCGGGTCCTAGGACTATTGAATTACATATCGGCATCTTTTTTTTTCAGTAACACATGCTCTTTAGATGTCATGGAGCAGAAGCGACATCATTAAATACTTTCCTTACCTTCTATGTAGTATAATAAAACTAAAACTATAAAACATCTTTTACTTGGGTAAAAAATAAGATTTCATGTGTTAAAATTTGATAAACACACATTTGTCTTAATGTTATCTCAAATTTGTGTTCACCTTTCTGATTAAGTGTATTTTGAATTAGAATCAATTTTTTGATCCGATCAATGAAAGTAAAAGTTACGGAGTAATTTTTATTGTTAATATATATTAAATATTAGCATACATCTTGATATATTTTTGCTGTGAGTTTCAAATATCTGAAAGCTTCATTAATTACATACGTAGTATATAGCAATCATACGTGATACCAA